ACACTCGAAAGGATTCCTCTCTCCTCGTCTTGCTTCGACGTGTTGTCAGCACCCCGAAGCTTGTTTGTGACGCCACCATCGCTCTCGCTGAGAAGTGAGCGGACAGAGGTAACCGTATCCAGTTCGGAAATGGCTAGTAACTGGACTTGATTGTTGGGTGTAGTAGCTGGGAGCCCATGGCTTCCTGTAGTAAGGGTGATCGCTGCGATAAGGAAGACGCTGCTCAGTCGCATGAGTAGTTTTGATTATCTTCGATGAAGTGAGTGTCGAAGAGAAAATATACAAATGAGCATCATAAATTGCAATACCAACCGAGCCAGTTGTCAGTAACGGCAATTAAACTTCGTAGAGAGTATCTGGCGGAGATTGGGGGTATCGACAAGTATCCTGTGAAGCCAAAAGGCTGGATCGTAACGACAAATCGTAACAACAAATTGTTTACCACGGTCGTGCTCAACCAAGCGGATCAAAAGCTCAAGTCCCCAAAACCAACAATAGTGCATATGTTTTGGAAGGTAACAGGATGTCTTTAACAGGTATAAGTACAAGTAAGCACCACTGGCTATTATAGGCGATCCTTCAATTACAGTAAAAATCTTTCCTATAGGTGTTCTTCAAATTTGCGTGCATTCAGTGCGACACGTTACCATAAAATACGGCTGGAGTGAGACAACTATTTTTGCGCGGATTCCTTAAAAAAAAAAAACCTGTGAGGTTTTTGTGCGACTGGCACATCACTCGCGATGCCATCCCTCCTCCTTCACCGTTTTGAGCACGACGTGACTTACCGCAAATCTGGAGACCAAAGGGTGGAGACGCAACCGACATAACAACGTTGTGTGCTTTAACCATAGATGTGTTTTAGGACACAGCTACTTCAACGGGAGACTAGTAATACATTAAATTTGTGTGCTCATCATACTTGAATGGGAGGGATGGTCAACAATATCGAGTTTTGATGTTGATATTCCACCCGTTTGTCTCACTCCAGCCGTATTTGGGGCAAAGCCCCCCTATAATGAAGCATACACTTTGTACTCTCTTTAAGTACAACAACTACTCTTTTTACAGACATTTTTTAACGGTATTAGAAAAAGGGTTAGGGCACAGTTTTAATAATCGCACACCAGGGGACGATTTTTGGCGAAAAAAACTTCTCTTTAAGAACAGAGTGATTGCATTGTGTGAGGAAATAAAATGAGAAACGTGAAAGATCCCTCAAACGAAAGTGTTAA